TATTATTTATTTATTTATTCGTACGCGCACGCATTTTTGTTATTTTATTTTAGCAGCCGGCGATTGTGTCCGTGGCTCTCGGCCGGCAGTGACGTTGTTTGTGGCTTCACGCTGGTCGCACTCGCCGGCCAATATCGGCTTTCTGTCACCACCTGGCCCTGTCGTCCCCCCTGGCAAGCCACCGCCGGCCGTTATCTCTGCTTTTATAACGTTCGGCGAATCAATAGTGCAACGGTATTATCATCTCCGGGTCTCGGAGAAAACAAGGCGGCCGGGGGAAGTCCTTTCAAGTGCGTGTGGTAGAATAATTTAGGTCGCACATTTAATATCAAAGAACAAAGACAGAAAGGCAACATCCCCCCCCCACTCCGTCTAGACTTTAAAAGACTGCTTGGGCAAACGCTGTTAGCGAGCACCGATGAAGGCCGGCACGGCACACGAGGTGGTTGGTGGCCAGCACCACGCCAGGGCAGCCTTTGTCTCCCCAGTGGCAATGTCCACATACTGCACCAGGTACTCATTTGTGGCTGAGTCGACCTAGGGGAGGCCCAGGACAGGTTCAGATAATCGTCACTGCTGTTGGTGGCCGTGAGCCGGAATCGAACCTGGGTCACCGGGTTAGTAGCGCAGCGTAGCGCTGAACGTCAAAGAACACGCATACACAGACTGCGTTGCAGAGATCTTTGACGACAGCACAAAATGTTGTAGTCGGGGTACATCCCTGGCGCAGTGGCTTGTGCACTTCACTATGAACCCGACCACCTGAGTTTGATTTACGGTCATGGCTAACATCAGTGGCGAATGGTTTTGGTATGGCATAGGGGGGAAGCCTTCACCCAGTCATCCACCAGTGGATTGACAGAGACGCGTGAGTTCGAAAGTGCATTGCAGACCACAAAAAAAACCGCCGTAAATGTCTTATTTATCCGAACTCTGACGCTGTTGTACGGAAAAGGAATTTTGTATTAAGATTCATCTCGGCAATTTTTTTTATCGACGTAAGCCTGCCTTGAATGTGTCGTGGCAAAGCGTCGAGTTGTGAATTCACCACGGCATCGCTGGCCCCCTCGACGCGGACGTGAGCGCGGATAATTTCGGGGCGGGCAAACGAAAACGAGAGCGGCGGTTTCATCTCGCAAGATTTTGTTGTTGTTGTTTGTTTGTCGCCGTTGTTTAGATTTTTTTTTAATCTCGCGAAGATCGCCGCTCCTCCCTCCTCCTGCCGTTGAAAAAAAACCCATCTCTTTATCCGTGTGATCTCGTACGCGCGTTTTGTTTCGCTTGCATCGGAGGCGATAAAGTTTTTATTTGTATTCGATTACGGCGGTTGGCGGGGCATTGCGCGCGTCGGCGCCTCTGATAGCCTGACCTCGGCAAAGCCGCCACAGACAGCCCGCTTAACCATGATGAATTGCCACGCCGCGCAATTTCCATAGCCCGCGAAGGGGGGGGGGAATGCTGGGCTCCATTACCGGCCAATCACACAGACGCACAGACGGGGCCGGCCCACGGCCATGCATAACGCGACGCTGTAAACACGACGCGTGTATATATACACACATACATACACGCGCGCGCGCCTGTTTGTGGCTAAACAAGATAATTTAGGCTGGCTGCACCTGCCTGGTTCTTTTAACAATACCAGTCCATCACGCACAAAAGGGCTGACACGAATGTGTTAGTGCGTGCGTGCCTATATGATATTGTGTAAATGTGTACTTATGCATACGCCATGTGGTTTTACTTGCGTGTGTGTGCTTGCGCTACACGCATGTACTAATTCATATATACATTGTAATGTAATAATAACTCAAGCACGTTGCTATATATTGACGCGGAATATGTGAAGGTGTTTCATTTGTAAAGTGGGTGGTAGAGAATTATATATTTTTTTTACCCCATTGTAGTTTCTTGTCATTTTGCAATAGTGATATAAAATACACAGCAGCATGAGTTTAGATTATTGAGATTTCGCGAAGCGGCATTTTACAGCGAAAGAAACTCAAGCAAAGGGATCGGATCGCGATTTTTTTCTTTTTTTACAAACTCGTTCAACACAAAGTAAACGTAGTGCCCGGTGATTGAATGTAATGTCAGCATTACTGTAGAGTGTGAAACCTGGGCTGACAGTTTATTAAGCATGGTGTAATGTACGCCTGCCTGTGATAATTACCATATACATTACCGCCGACCCTGTTATGTGCCGCGCGTAACAGTTTCACAGACTGGAAATACGTACTCCACGCGACGCAGGTGAAACACCCTCATGCATCATCGTCGCGGATTCATCTCGTTGCTGCGACGCATTACGGGACGCGTGGCTCGGCTATCAATGGGGACCCGTGGCCACGATGGTAGCGCGCGGTTCCCATTCATCGCGCGGCTGCGTTCAAGAGTGTGCAACGGCTCACACCGCCACCGCCGCCCTTGTTTGGTGCAAGCCGATCGCGCACAGTGATAGACGCAGCGCAATTAGACGCGGCGATGTATCGCGCGCAACGTTATTGCAATAAACATTATGACAACAATAAAGGCCCGCGAAAACAGCCGTGGCGTGTGGTAGATCAGCGCTCTTGCGGTGAATCGCGGCGCGGTGTGAGGTTGCGCTTCTTCGGCGGCGCGTTGTTGCGCACGCCACGAGCCAACGTCTTGCTGCGGGAGCCTCTTATGGTAACGATTCGGTTTACGGTTGTTCCTTTGCAAACATTTTTTCGTGTTATTCTCGAGTTAATTCCTCATTTAATTATCGAATGGGTGTCTGCACACTGCCGCTATTTCACGTGAATATGAAAGCGCCCCACCCATTGATCCACAGCTTAGTTTCTGGTGCGGTGAGGTTCGTCGCAAACCAAGACGCCACCGCTCCCTCCCCCCCCGACGCACGTGTCTAGCGGCACGTCGCTCAGCATGGGCACTGCTCAGTCAGCCCCTGCTGATCCTCACAGAGGCTGGACGCGTCTTGGGGGTTATTGACTTTGCAGACGACCAAACCGTTAGATTTGGTCATTAAACGCAAAATCACTGTAAGTGGCGACTGGCTTTTGACCATTTAACAATGACCCAGAAAGGAGGGTGTTTGTGGAAATGCATTGCGTCCCCACATCCCACATCGGAAAGCCAAGTCTAAGGATGCATGCTGACATGTTGCGCTCAATTGCCTTGGCAAAAGAGGAATCTGGCCCCGGTAGAAATTCAAAATCCAATTGCACGTCCGTGGACGCTGTAGCCAGGGGCATTTCTCGAATTTTTTTGGACCCAGCGGAGTAATCTGCAATGGGCCTTTTAAATCCTTAACATCAGGAGCGGTCGATCGCTGTGAGTTCACTGCCGCAAAGCCAGTGGTTATTTGCTCACATTGACCACGCGTGGTATGGGAAAAGTTAAACGAAGCTAAATATATATATTTTTTAAAAATCTGCCACGGCTTTGCGACTTACACAAGCACTCACCAACCGTGCCTGTCTCACTATTCTAGAAGACATCACGCTCAACGCGGGATCTTCGACATATACTTATGTGTGTGTTGTGTGTGTATTTGAGGGCGTGTATTCATTATTATTTTGAATAACACGAGTAAACTACGACTCATCGGTGTAGCGCGCAAACTTGCCATAATAATAGATTATATCCGTAATAATTCCCCAACATAGTTTTCAAAAGCCAGTGATTATTCACGCGATAATGAGAAAGAAGAGACGAAAAAGAACGTCAGTTGGTCGACATCCTACAGATGTGCCCGCAGTGCTTCCCCACCCACCCCGTATATGCCGATAGCACCCCAAACGAGAGAGCAAGCCCGGCGCTTTAATCTTTTACACTGAAGCTTGGTAAAGGGCTCGCTATCGAAATTGGCATGGTCTACTCCGTTCCATTTCATTTTGCAGTTTCCCCCATAATAAACCCATCTGTCCACATTGTTCTTGTCTTATTATTTACTGACTTGCAGTTGCCTGTTGGTTATTTATGTATTTATTTATTTGATTTAGTTCACAAGCTTATGACCAAATCACCCAGAATGCACCTCTGATCTCATCGGATCTCAGAAGCTAAGCACGTCCGAGCCTGTGCAATGTTGGGATGGGTGAGCACTGCGTACAGAAGGCAGATGCAGTAGGCATTATGGGCAGCAGGGGACAGATCAGCAAAAGCCACTGATGTTCTGCACTGACCAGCGTGGTGAAGTATGGTCAAATATCTTTCACGGCCCGCAAAGCATGGGCTTTACATGTACGTGCAAATATTAGCTCGCGTGCAAGTCGATTGATCGGAAAGTGGGATTAAACATAAAAAAAAGTTTTAGCATAAATTGTAGAGCTGGCACAATTCGTCTTAATTAGTCGATTAAACTACTACCTATTGTTATTGACTACTCTATCAATGGCAGCCATCCTGACATCCTGCCTCCCCCGAAAGCAGGAACCCCCCCCACAGAGCCACACCCAGCGTGACGCGGCTGACGATGCCAATTATGTCACCAAATCCAACCCATCACCTCCCGTCCAGCAGCACACGTGGGGACCAAGGTGAGACTTTGCGCTTCACCCCGACTGCTCTGATTAGTCGTGTCCGATAAGTCAAGTCATGGAAATGATGACGGGCAGTTTAACGATAATTAAACTAAACAAATTTACCAGGTCAGGCCCACTGAGATATATATATCTCGTTTTCAGAAGCGACCTGGTCACAAATGACAGCTCAACGAAGTGGCTTATCACATGGAAATGTATTAGCAGCCAAATACTCTAAAGGCATGTTTCTAAATGCGGACAGAAAAAGAGGAGGACCCGGAGAAAAATCCACGCGAGCACGGAGACAGCATGCAAACCCCAAATATACAGCAGGCGCCAGGGCCGGAATCGAACCCACGACCTCCTGTATACTAGGCGAGGTAGTTAACATCTCGCCACCGTGGCGCCCATAATTGGATAGCCCGGCTCTGGTCGTTTGCCCACTCTGTGGTGGACAGCGTGGCAGGGTGACGGGCCGCGGTGTTCGGTTACCTTGGGTAGCCTCTCGGGGTCGCCGGGGTGTCTCGGGATCACCTTCTGCAGCCTCTGGAAGCCGTAGTCAATCGTGGGCTCGTTCAAAGCTGCGGGGAACATCGAAAAACAAACGCTGCGGTGAGCAAAACGCTCGGCTGCAACATCAACCACAGTCGCCAAGCGCTTCTCCATCAACGCCTCTGTCGTCATAATCCACAAATGATTAGTCCGCTCATAGGTATCGTCACCCCCGTCATCATCTCAGCACATGTGCATTGAGTTGCCTCGCACCTAACGTCCTGTCGCGACTGCGATGGTCCTTGTGCACGTGAACTTCAACACCTCAATACCGCCGGCCCTGGTCAAAAAAACGTATTTGACTAGACTCGCTGCCTGCCGCTCCACTCGTTTGTCGCGTGTTGTGTTTGACAACTGCATGAGACGATGCAAAACAATATTTTTTTTCAGATTCTCTCCGCATGCTCCTCGACATTGAGAATCATCTCCAAATCTGCTCCCTTTTCTGAAGTTCCTGTAAGGTTGCTTTGCTCAAGAAGCGCATTCGTTTATGATCTTCTGTACGACCATTTGCGCTCTCTGTCGCTGGCCCGCATTGCATTGTAGGCTTGGTCATCAACAACTTTATTTTTTCTAAATCTCCCTTCAGGTGCTCGATTTTTTTGTTTTACCAATCTTGAAAGCTAAGCAGAGTTGAGCCTGGTTAACACTTGGATAAGGGACGAGCTGGAGATACCAGGTATTGTAGGAGTGGGTTACGAGTTTGCCAGGAGATGGCAGTGCAACAATGGAGACTTGAATCTATCTGTACTGAGCTTTCATTGTGATGCCCCTCATATGTTTGGGTACTCCGGTTTCTTGACACATGGGGCCAAAGTGGCATTTTTTTGGAACTGCCCAAACATCACAATTTTAAAGCTGGTGTTGAGACTCAGTGAGGCTCTCTTTGTCAAATAAAAGTTATTATAATAATTATTCTAAGTTAATGAGCGATATGCAGTCATCCACGATAGTCATCACCACCACGATCGTGATCGTCAGCATCGTTGGCGACGCCACAATAATTACTGTCATCATTCCCATCGTTTGTCCTGCCACCCCTCATACTCATGAGGTACATTCCTATTGCATGCCAAGACTGCAGGCTTGAACCATTGCTGTGCGAATCCTATTTAATTTTAGGTGATAAAGCGAAATGACGGGAATTTAGATCCCATCACATTCTGTGGCTGATAAGACATCATATAAAATAATTAACTTGGCTTGACAAGTATTGCTTTTAATGGAAGATATTAAGAGTTTATCATTTAATCACATCTAATCACACGGCACGCTCTACTGGTTGAACTATTGGTCATATATCAAGATCGCGGGATAAAAAAAAAATCTCAATAATCACCACCTGACAAAAATGCAGGCGTACATCTTCAAATATCCCTAATGTAATATATTTAGCCGAATTGCTTTAATAATGCATTGACGGCGCGCGGCTCGCAAATATCAATGCATCACTATTTTATACCCGGGCTAACGGGCCAGTGAGAAGTGGCATTATGCAGCGCATCCGTCACAGACAGGACTTGGTAAAACCTGCTTGTCATGCTTCAGCAGTGTTATGTAATTTGCTTCTTGTTGGGAGTCAAGCAAGACGCTTGAGCCCGCGCCTCTCGGAGCGCGCGCGTTAGCACGCGGAACGGATTACGGAGACGGCGGAGGAAAATCGTTAGAGCGCATCGCATCAGTCGTCAGCGCGCCGGGAGGAATCGCTATTGAAAGGAGCCCCCCCAGCCACTGCATAGCATTAACATCTATTTCGTGTCGAGTGCGGATGGCAAATATTGACTCTGATCTGCGCGACGGTGCAACGGCGGTGGTGACGGCGCGCGGGCGTGCAGAGGGGCGGAGGGGGCTGGCGGGGCTCTTGTGACTTATCACGCTCGCGCAAACTCGCTTCGCAGCGGCCGATATCGGCTTACGAGCCGAGCCCTCCGCTCGTGTCGTGACACTGCCAGCACCCGCAATTAAGTGGGGGGGAGGCGGGGTGGGGGGTGGGATTGGGGGAGGGTGAGGAAAGAAAATCAGCCGTTGTGATGTCCCACGGAAGCTAAAGACGGCAGCTTGCTTAATGCAGTAGGCGGAGGTGTTTCCAGAGGGCCTCGGAGGTGAAAGTGCGATGTGCGTGGCGCGGCTCGGCAGAATTGTCGCGAGTTAGCCCTGCGCAGTGTTTTTTTGTTGTTGTCATCTATCCTCTCGTTCACGGCGCCGACTAAAATCGTGCGGGGCTTTCGCACCCTCCGCTTGTTTTGTTTGCAAGCGCTCGTGCGCAAGCTGTAGGCACGTGCGAGTGCGTTCATTTTATTTTGTTGTTGCCGTTACGCTGCCGGGCTGAGGGCCTCCACCGCGCGGCATGGATTGTGGCAGTGACTTTTACCGCGCTTCACCGCGCTGGTCAGTGCGAGATCGGAGAATGTGGGGAGCGTAGATGTCGGGGCACAGTGCAGAGCAGTACAGCAGTGGACTTTTCTACACGAACCTCTGCTGACAATGCAGCTGTGCAGTGGCGACCGCCGTACAAGTCCCATCCAGGCTCAGATCCCTGCTTAGCATCTGAGATCTGCCGGGATCGAGCACTCTCCGGATCATTTGGTCGATATTAGAATGCGCGGATTTGTGTAATCCTACGAACTCGGACGCAGTCCACGGCAGAAGTAATCGGGGTCTTATTGTGGGGCGTGAGTAAGGAAGGTTTACGTGTCGAGAGTAAATAGTGGAATTAATATTTACGTCCAAGCAAGCCTCGGCGCGAAACTGCACGTTAAACCGGGCGGCACGGACGCTTCACTTGACACCTCTAGATTTTCGCTTGCGGGTGCGGCATCTTTTGAACCAGCTATACAGCACGTTCGACTGTGGAGGAGGTTATAGCCTCTAAGATAATTAAAACTCAACACATTCGCCAACAATGCCGTGGCCTTAAAGTAACAAAAATAAACAAGAGGTGACGTTTCGGGCTATGCCCCTTCTGCATTCAAATGTATTTGCTATGAAGCAGGGCCATTGCATAAATTGTCACCGATTGCATATGTTTTCATTTTAAGTCCACAGTGTTGTTGATGAATGTGCTGAGTTTTTTGTTGTTGTTGTAAATCAGTGCTTGTGCATCAGTGGCAATGCGGCAGCAGCATAGCCTAATTATTTGTTTTTTTATTTATGACAACAGATCTATCCCTGTATCTCATTAATGGCTGTAGACTATGAGCGAAACTTTGTTGCAACCTGTTGTAAATGTGCAAATGGTAAATTACTCTAAAACAAATTTAAGCATTTACTGAAATCGTATGAAAGCACGTGTATAAGCGATAAATGCAACATTGCAATTTAGATGGATTTGGGCCGTCTTGTTTAAAGCAAATAGTAATGCAATACATTTGATTTGGCTCTCTGCAAATTTTGTAGAGAATACAATACTTATGTAAATGCAGAGACAAAAAAAATAAATTACGAAATCAAAGGATAATAGCAACGGGAAAAATTACAATTCCGCATCTGTTGATTTTTTTTTCATTCGTCCATTTTTTTCTAATTTCAGTAGCAGAAGAAGAAAAAAATCATCCACAGCGAAGGGCCCGGTCCGACGAAGCGTGGCGTAAATCGATGGCCGTTTGTAAACCCAATAAAACCTGTCTCGTTTCATTCATTAGGCACCGGGTAATTTCTGGCGCCACTCGCCGCATGGCACATAATTCAACATTAACGGTGCTTTAACTAATACGGAGAAAAGCTAACGCTCGGACAGAGAGAGACAGAGCAGGCATAGAGATTGTCATCAGGTGCCAAAACCCACATGAAGGGCCCTCCATCTCTGAGCGTCTGTCTGAGCAAAAAAAAATCGCTGGCTCGTTGCGCAGAGTGGCACGCCAATCACGTGAAGTTGAGAATACGTGAATACTTAAACCCGGGGAAACGCAATGCGTCCGGGGTCATGAGTGACACAATAAGCCGCGGCGCGCAGCATTTAATAAAGTGACACGCGCACGCGCGCGTCGCTGGGGCGCGTCACGCAAACGAGGTGTCTGAGCTTCGTGGCGGCGGGCGCGTTCCGAGCGCGCGTGCGTGCGCGCGCGTGCGCTTGATGAGCGAGACGTTAACCCACGCTTGCCCGTCCCGGCGCGCATCGCGGCACGCACGCTCCGTGAGCGTTCGCCCTCACCAAACGCGACGGCTCTGGGGCCGTGCTTGTGAGCGCATCGACGCCGAGGGCTTTCACTCGGGAAATGAACGGCAAGAAGGGACAAAAAAAAGAACCAACACACACACACACAGACAAACAGACAGACAGAAAAAAAGAGAGATACGGCCCCTACCCATAATCAGACCATTAATCATAAAAGGGTGTCAAGCTCGGGCGTGGGAGAGATTTGTCACTTAGGCCTCTAATAGCGGGGGGGGGGGGGTGACGGATCGAGGAATGCGGCGGCCTCGGTGCAGGGCGCAGAGCGCCCGCCCCGGCCCCGGCCTCGGCGATTGCCTCGACCGCGCTCTCTGCGATCTGCATAACCCCGAACCTCATGCATGGCGATGAGCCGGGTCGTGCGCCGGTTCTCCCACGAGCGGTGCCGCCCTGGCCGCTCGCCCGTGGTGGTGGGGAGGGGGGGGTGAGCGCGACGCCGCTCGGCGACGTTTGCCGCGTGGAATGGCACCGCGAAGGAGCTCGTGATGAGTCGTGGTGCCGTGGCATGCCCTCGTTGGCTTTCCTTTTGCCCGCGCGACGTGTGCGCGTGCTCATTTATTTATTTACTTGCCGATTTACTCGACTCCCCAAACACCACTTTTCCAAAAGTTAGTATCGGCAGTGCAATTAATTTGCATTGCTGCAGGACACGTGTTCTCTATCATTCAATGCACACTGTTATGTAGCAGGTATGCTTCAACATTAAAGTTTCCAGGTGTAATTCAAAGTGGCCTTTTTAAACAGCTTGTAAGAGTATATTGCACACTTGCTTAGCAGTGCCTTAAAAACATTGAATTCCTTCCCCATAATTTACCATCTGAGGTTATTAAACTTAAGTGCACTCTTCAAGAGCAGTAA